GCAGCAACACACTGATAAGTCATCAGCTCTCCTCACTCTCCCCTCTCCTACTGTCAGCATGTTCTCTGACATCACATGTGCATGCAGCAGATCCTCATTGGCTCCTAGTGCTGCCCCTTTCCTCTACCAGTCTGAGTGCTGCTGTGCAGTGATGACAGGAGGCTGACCCAGGCAGATCCGGTTTTACGTAAGAATGTATTTGTTTATTGTAAAGGATTAAACAACTGCATTAAATAGTGTTTCTTTAATCTACCTGGAGTTCATCATTAATACCATCATAATAATAATGCTGGCTTGATTTGGGCTGATTAAATTCAGGTATTGTAAAATAGGTATTGAAAATAAATACTTGGCTTGTATTCATTTTTTTTCTCTTAGTGTATGCTGATCTCCTGCAGCCTCTTATCGGCCACCTACCGTTCACTTACCTCCAATGATGGCTGCATTGCATTTTTCAGGGTAGGTTTCCTGAAGGTGACAACAGTGCATTGTGCCTGCATTATAAGTGAAATGGACACTTGTAGTCTCCCATCGGGAGCCTGTGTGACAGGGTGACAACGCAGGAGCACAATTGTAAGACAGGAACAGAGTGTTGTCACCCTATAACAGGAGGTTCCTTTACAAGTCTTTAACGGGCAGCAAAGTGGTATAGTGGTTAGCACTTCTGCCTTGCAGCGCTGGGGGTCCATGTTTCAAATCCCAGCCAAGTCATATCTGCAAGGAGTAGATTGTGTGGGTTTCCCACTCTCCAAATACATGCAGGAAGGTAAATTGGCCCTTGCATGTATGCACCTTAGACTGTAAGCTCCTTGAGGGCTGGGAATGTGCACTGTGTAAAATTGTCAGTACTATATAAAAATTACCAATTGTAACTGTACTATCTTCCTATATTGCAAAGCACCACTCAAAATGTTGGCACCCTGATAAATAATAATAATACAAGAACCTTCATGGCAGGATCACCAGGTATCATTTTATAAAAAACTGCAGATCTAAACATATTACACATTTTATTAAAGTTTATATGACATTTAATGATTGGGCTTACATACACTTCAATCATTTCATCATTAAATCCCTGTTTCAGCATTAAATGCATTTAAAGGTAAAAGCTGCTTCCATTCAGATCTTTATGTGTCTAACAACATGAATACGATAGACACCAACCAACAAATGAGTATGACTGAGAATCGGTGTCGGAAGTCAGAGCCGTGTCTGGGGGACAGGAGAGGTGAGGTGCGGCTTTTCCTTTTGGCTTTAATAGGGATTTTACATTTTAAGAATGCTATTAGAGTCATAATGATTTAATTCTTTTTATTTTTTATTGATTGAACCCTGACTGTGGAATTTATTTATGAAATTCGATGTAATGTGATATATACTCCGAGCACTCCCTGACGTTTCTGTATGGTGCTATTTCTTGTTACAGCAGTGATTAAAACTATGCAGTACAACCATACATCCCAACTGTGCCTCATTTGGAACCAAATTCCTCTGTCCCTCGTTCCTCCTCAGTTGTCTCTCTTTTTGGGCTGATGTACAGATATCGATGAAAAGCTTCTATTCAACTACCAAAAGTGTTATTCTGAACTAAAACCTTCATCTCATCTCTTAATTGTCCTAATTGCTTTTTCAAAAAGCCAGGATACAGAAAAAGTAATGGTGACAAAAACAGTTCTGGGTTTAATCAATCATTCTTGGCATATAAATTCTTAATGACTCACATAACTGGGTAACTGGGGGCATGGCAGGGGTGTGACCATTGCCTATATATTAATTTGGGCAAGTACTCGTACTTGCCCAAATGCTCCGATGCCTAGCCAGATACTTCCTGTTTTAGGAAGCCGGGCAGCGCGTCATTACACACTGCCCGGCTTCCTGATTGGCTGGGAAGCCGGCTCCATGCTCCCTCGTCAGTTGTGACGAGAGAGCATGAAGCCGGTTTCCCGGCCAGTCAGGAAGCCGGGCAGCGTGTAATGATGCGCTACCTGGCTTCCTGATTGGTCGGGAAGCTGGCCAATAAGGAAGCCGGGCGCCTTGTAATGACGCAACGCCCGGCTTTCTTGATGGCCGGGAAGCAGTCTTCGTGCTCCCTCGTCACCTCATGACGAGGGAGCATGGAGCCAACTTCCTGGCCAATCAGGAAGCCGGGTGCAGCGTCATTGCACGGCCCCTGGCTTTCCTTGATTGGCCCGCAAGCCGGCTCCATGCTTTCTCGTCACATAGTGATGAGTAGCATGTGGACGGCTTCCTTGCTAATTGGGAGGTCGGGTGGCGAGTCTTTACACACTGCCCGGCTTCCGAGTACCGGAAAAAAATAATATCTGTGCTAGTACTCGGTACCGAAATACCGGTATCGGTGCATCCCTAATTACTAGGGATGTCCCGATGCTACTTTTTCAGGCCCAAGAACAAGTACAAGTACATCCCCTCATGTACTTGCCGATACCAATTACCGATACTTTTTCTTAAAGGGACAGGTGACTTTAAATGATCCATA